CAATCTTGTAAATCATTCTGTTGATCAATTCTGCAAATCCCTTTTGTAGATCGATTTTGCAGATCACTTTGTAGATCAGTTTACAATATTATAATATTATATAATACGTGATTTTTACTTTTTTTTTATTGATAACATACTTTTATGATTAATGTGATACTTTTTAAAATTAAGTAAAAAATTTGTTTAATATTATTAGAATTAATTATTTCTTATATATAAAAAACCAAAAAAAAAATTCTAATTAGATATTTTCTATTATACCATTTAAATAAAAATATAATTTGTAATATTAATTCAATATATGATAATATATTCAAAATAAAATATAAAAAATATAAAAATAAATAAAAAAAAACATATATATTAAGCAAAAGTTATTTAATAGACATAGAGTTCTGAATGAGTCAGGTTGAGCAAATTTTTGTCAAACTCAACTTAACTTGAAAAAATTGAGTTGAGTTGAGTCGGGTTAAAAAAATTTTAAACCTCAACTCGACTCAACTCGAGTTATTTATTCTGATTGAATGATAAATCATTATTCTAAAGGAACGATAAATAAAATCATTCTGATAAAATGATAATGCATCGTTCTAAAATAATAATAGAAAAATTGTTTGATAGAATGATAATGCATCATTCTAAAGGAACAATAGAAGAATTGTTCTGATAGAATGATAATGCATTATTCTAAAGGAATGATGAAAAGAATCATTCCAATAAAACAATAAAATATCATTTTAAAAGAACGATAAATAGAATCATTTCAATAGAACAATAAAACATTATTCTAAAGAAACAATAAATAGATTTATTCCAATAGAACGATAAATAGAATTATTCTGATAGAATGATTAAAAAGCATTATTCTAAAAAAATGATAAAAGAATCGTTCTGATAGAATAATAATGCATCATTCTAAAGGAATGATAAATAAAATCATTCTGATAGAATGATAATGCATTATTCTAAAGGAACAATAGAGAGAATCATTCTGATAGAATGATAAAGTATCATTCTAAAAAATAATAGAAGAATCATTCTGATAGAATGATAATACATCATTTTATAAAAATAATAGAAGAATCATTCCAATAGAATGATGAATGAATGATCATTCTTTTTGAAAAGATAATTGAATTTTTCCTTAAGAACGATAATAAATTGTTCTTTTGGAATGATAATCAAATTGTTTCTTAAAGAACGATAACAAATTATTCTTTTTGGAATAATAGTCAAATCATTCTTTTTGGAACGATAATTGAATTGTTCCTTTAGAATAATACTTTTTATCATTCTATTAGAATGATTCTTTCTATCATTTCTTTAGAATGATGCATTATCAGTCTATCAAAATGATTCTCTCTATCATTTCTTTAGAATGATGCATTATCATTCTATCAGAATAATTCTTTCTATTATTCCTTTAGAATGATACATTATCATTCTATTAGAATGATTTTCTCTATCATTCCTTTAGAACGATGTATTATCATTCCTTAAGAATGATATACTATAGTTCTAAAGGAATGATTTTTTTATTGTTCCTATAAAATGATGATTTATTGTCTATCAGAACGAAACTTCTATTATTCTTTTAGAACTATGTATATCATTCTATTTGAATGATTTTTTTATACTTTCTTTAAAAAAATTTTGTTAAATTTTTTAGCTCAACTTTGGGCTTAAGTTTTGCTTGATTTTGGGTTCGAGTTTATGCTCAAGTTTTGCTCAACTTTAGACTCGAGTTTAGCTCGAGTTATCTTGAATCGAGTTAAGCTTAACTTTAAACTCAACTCAAGTTAAACGAGTCAAATTTTTATGACTTAACTTAACTTAACTTAACTCAACTCATTTGACTCGAAAGTTAGCTCAGCTTATTTGAAACTCTAAATAAACATACCTTTTAGGAGTTTTTATTAAACCTTTCAAACTTTTAATTTAAATGATAAGTTTTATCATATTTTTTTTTTTTAATAAGTGACAAAGTTTTAATTTGTTAATACAAAGTTAAAATTTATTCAAGGACATTATTTGTTCAATAATACTTTATTTTTTTAGTTTATATTTATTTTAAATATAAAAAAAATTTTGCGAAAGATTTGATAAGTTTAAAAGCAAAATTGCCTGTTTTTCTAAGATCCACCAAAAGTTATGAAAGTATTTGAGTTTTTAAGTTGATAAATTAATAGTTATAAATTTAATGAACAATTGTTTAAAAAAAATCTTAAAAAGTATAATAAAGTTATACAGCTTGCTTATTAACAAAGTAAAATAAGACATGAAATTTTATATAGTAAAATGATAAATACTATATGTAACACTATTTGCTACTAAATATACTACATATAATATAATCTTTCATTAAACTCTATATTAATTAATATTTACATATTAATTTTTATTTTTTCTTGTTATATATGAACATTTTGCAGTAAAAAGATATAAAACTCTAAATAAATTAAAATTTTACTTTATAAGCTTAATATAATTTATAAAATAAGTTAAGATTTAATATTAACTCAAAAAAAAGTTTTAGTTATTATATTAAAACAGAATTGAATAAAATAAACCTTTTTATAAAATTTAATGATTTTAAAATTGCTTACTATAAGAATATAATAACTTTAACTAAAATTATAAAATAGATCATATTTGTCTGATATTTTGTATAACGATAAGGGGCCTTTGCAATAGAAAGGGGGGAAACTGCCGGGAAAAATTAATTTTACTTTATATGCCAAATATGATTTTTATGCTGAAATATGTTCAAATTTAGCATTAACTCACTTTTGATTTTTTCGGCTGTTTCCCCCCTTTCTATTGCAAAGGCCCCATAAAATAATTAAAATTATCATCTATAAAGTAATATGGATTAAATAAAGAATTTTATTTGGATATATTACATTTTAATACGTTAATATCTAAAATGAGCATTTCAGATATTCTAAATCGAAATACAAGTTTGAATGTGAAGATTATTTGAAATGCCCATTTCGGCATTTGGGCTACAACAGATATAATGATTTAAAAATGATGTCATTAAATTATAATTACCTAATTTGTAATATTTAAGTTACATGTGATGGTTTAAAAATTATCCAAATTTGAAATGACCCTTGAGATAAGCAATGTATGATTTTGACACTGGCGTGACAAAATCATGCATGTTACTATAAATAGTAATTATTCTTATTTTATTTATAGTAAATAATTACATTGAAATTATTAAAGATTCTAAGAAAGTTAATATGATTAACCCTTCATTATTTATTTGTAATACATGTCAAAAACCGATCGAACTTTTTAACATTCCCACCTAAATTGATAAATGGGAATAGCATATGATTAATACCCCCACATGACATGTGTAAAATAATTGGGGCAAGCTCTTTTGGCAAACGCCAAAGAACATATATAATACTTATCGTTCGGATCTTTATCGATCGAAGTTTCCAAAGAAATATGGCTGAAACTAGATGGAATCTTCTTGTTTCTTTCTACACTTTATTTCAGCAAAATTGCATTGATTATTTTTTATGATGATCATTATAATTTTCAGCAAATCTAACAATTAATTATTACACAAGATCTGTTAGCCAATAAATACTTAAATTAGTAGACTTTTTATATAAAATCAATCTAATTTCTTTTTTCTTCTGTAATCAATAAGGTTATAAAAAAAAGAATTTTTTTTCCTTTGCGGAAAATTCTGTACACTTTGAATGTATCCAAGTGACAGTAATTTCTTTTCTCTGAATTTTTTATTCTCAGAGATATTTTCTTATAAACGTTTGTTCTTGAAACACGACATTTTTCGAATTTAAAGTAAAACTTCAAATCATAAAGAAATGGATGAAAATTTTCAATTTGATCAAGTATCTATTGTTGCTTCTTGTCTTGGAGGTTTTATCATATTTTTCGGTCTCGTGTCATTTTTTGTTAAAGAACGTTTGTATTTATCGGAAGCTCGTAAGTTGAATCGATGGTAGATCTTGTCTATTTTGGTGTGACGTCGAAAATCTAATACTAATGTCTGATTTATTAGTTGTCTCCGTGATAGTTGGAATAATACTCGGTCCTAATGTTTTAAATTTGCTTAATCCAGCGAATTGGGGTTCCATAGATGAAATTTCTCATGATTTTTTACGCATTGTTATTGCTGTTCAAGTATGATCGGATTGATTTATATCATTCAGTTTTCTTTATAGGCGTGATCTAATTTTTAAATATTCTTTTTATAGGTAATGATCTCTGGGGTTGCATTACCAAGGTAAGTTATTTTCTTTAATATTTATAAAGATAATAAATTATTCTGATTTAAATTTTAAATTAATATTCTATAGAGCATACCCTATCAAAGAGTGGAAAACATTAATTATTTTATATTTCCCAGTAATGTCATACATGTGGATTGTCAGTGGTTTATTGGTCCGGTGGTTTATTCCAAGTATACATTTTGTAAGTTATCTTAATCAACTCAAATTTGGTTACTAAAGGATTGAAGCATGTTTATTAAGTTAACACAAAGGTTTTTTTTTGAAAGCTTGAAGCTTTAGCGATAGCAGCATGTATAACACCAACTGACCCTATTTTGGCTAACTCGGTAGTCAAAGGTCGCTTTGCAGAAAAGCACGTGCCTCCTCATGTGCGCAATATATTGTCCGCCGAAAGGTAGGCACATTTCATTGTTGTAAACTTAATAAAGGATCCTTAAAATATTCAAAACTTTTTTAATTTATTATATAGTGCTTCAAATGATGGTCTTGCATATCCATTGTTGTACATTGCGATTTATCTTATGGAAGAATCTTCGGTTGGCGACGCGATGAAAAAATGGATCTTATATTCTTGGTTGTACCAAGTTATATTAAGTTGTGCTATTGGAATAGTTGCTGGTTATGCTGCAAGAAAGCTGTTATATTTTGCTGAAAGCCGGTTTGTATATATGTATATATAGTTTTTATAAACATTATAATTATTAACATTCTTGATTGATTCATAATAGCCGGCTGATTGATAAGGAATCTTTTCTTGTATTTGCCATTGCATTGGCTGTGAGTTATATAAACCATACCTATAATTTATTTATATATATACATTCACTTATAATTTATACCTTTTCATTTTAACAGTTATTTTTGACGGGAATTGTGTCCATTATTGGTAGTAATGATTTACTTGCTTGCTTTACAGCTGGTACGTCCTTTACATGGGAGTAAGTATAATAACACGTTATTAATATTTATTATTTAAATTATTCATCTTAATGACTTTTCCTTTAAACAAAGTGATTGGTTTCGTAAAGAGACTGAAGAAGCTCATTTGCAGGAAGTTATCGATATGTTACTCAACCTTGCTGTTTATGTATATACATTTACATTTTAACTTTGCTATTTTTTAATGATCTCACATTGTGGAAATTTATTTATAATTTTAATTATTTCTTATAATAAGGTGTATGTTGGTGCTACGATTCCCTGGTCGGAATTCACTAATGATGAAGCTGGAATTCAAGTTTGGAAATTAATTCTTTGTGCCATATTGATTTTAATATTTCGTCGCCTTCCAATTATCTTAGCTTTAATGAAATTTATGCCTGCGATAAAAACATATCGTGAAGGTAAGCTTTTTACACATCAAACTCTAACCATTTCGTGATATCGTGACCTATAAAGGTTCAAATTAGACGTCACATAATTTTTTTTTTCGTTGTACTTTACATTTTGAAAATAAATTGCATTTGGAGATTATAACTTTTTTTTTCTTTTTTTTTAAAAAAAAAAATAGCTGCCTTCACAGGGTGGTTCGGCCCTATAGGTATAGGCGCTATATATTATATCACTGTCATTAAGAAAGAATTAAGTTCGGATATAACAAATCCTTTATACGTTGCTGTTGAACCTGGTATTTTTAATTAACATTATAATTGTGCTTTGGGTATTTTTTTTGATTGTTAATTAAAATGTATCTATTTTAGTCGTTTATTTTGTCGTGATAAGCTCTATATTAGTCCATGGTATTACAATTCGTAAGTAACAAGCAATAATGAAAAATATGTGTTGTTTTTGGAAGAATTTAAAAATAAACTAAAATAAAAATATATATGTATATTTCTCTTTAGCTTTGGTCAAGATATCAAAAAGGTAATGTTTGCTTTAAATATCTATAAATATTGATTTTGAATCCTATCAAAAAATTTAACCTTTTGTTTTATTAGAATAAACACACGAACATTGACAACAGGAACGTTAAATAATCAAGTATCTCGATTACCATTAATACGAATTGGAACAGATCTTATTTTTCGCCCAAAAACGGATAAAGAAAAAAAACCACAATCACCTGAAGAATCTGAAAATAATTCAACAACAACAACAGTTGAATTTGATTCACAAGCCGAAGCACAAATAGGTGAATCTTGTATGACTTCATCAACAAGATATGAAGAAAATCGTAAAGAAGAAGAGGAGGGAGAAGAATGGCATCATCATCTTAAAATTGATATACCACAAAATTTACGGGAAAAATTTAAACGAAGGCATGTTACTGATTTGGGTAAATCAGGTACATACAGTTCTAGGTATGCAATATGGGATGAAGGTGATTCTTATATTATTGAAAATTATGATGGTGAAGATATACATATTATACCATCGACGCATACCAACTCAACGCAAGAACAAAATAAAAGTTATTTCTTTAGAAGAGGTACAGGATCAACCAATGAATCACCGCAAAAGTCTTCACCTAATCAAGAACATGCTGACGAATCGATTACAAATGAATTTAATGAATCTATTGAATCGATTAAATCTGAAAAAGATCCCAAAAATTAAGGGATATATTTTTTTCCTTTAAAAACCGGCTTAACATTATTCTTTCTTATTTTGGAATACCTTAATAAGAAATTAGAATTAATTCTATTTATAGAAATTTAAATACGATACTTTGGCAATAATTTAATACGTAACTGAAGATTTATTTTTTTTGCCTATTATGTCATTATTACGCACTCATGATTTCAAATGGATTTGGATTTCATTCTTTTCATGAGGATTACTTATATATACGTATGAATTTTTTTTTTTTAAAAAAAAAAAATAATTAAACGTTCCTCAAAATCAAAAATAATAATTTTTTTTTTTAAAAAAAAAAAAATTTTAACGTCCCGACATCAAAAATAAAATAAAATAAAATAAAACTACATAAACAATTGAATCCCCGCAACAATAAAAGACATGGATGTCGGTGATATAATTGAAGCAGAAATGAAAACTCCTAAATCCGAAAAAATCAAATATTTTTCAAATATAAATGACGAGGATGAGGATAAAAAACCAAAAGGAACTTTTTTGAAGAAAAATTATATTATAGTCAATGGTTCATATAATTATATATTGATCGGTATATTGTTTATCGTTATATCTTATATATTAAAATTTCGAGGATATTTTTAATTCTTTTTATTTTTTACGTTGCGGGTGAGAGAGTAAGTATGAAACGGAGAAACTTGGGTTCCCTTGATGATGGATATGGAGAAAGTTTATATATTTCATTGTTATCAATAGCCATTTATATATTATTAATGTAGTGATTTTTAAATAAAAAAGTGCGTAATTTTTAGGTATGTTCTGTTCATTCGTGGCATAGCGCGATCAATTAATTTTGAAACAGAACCCTAATGATCTATAAAACCTAAAGAATAGGAGTTTCGGATTAAAAATTTTCCTGAATTTAAAATCAAAAATTTTGGTTGATCTTAAACCAATTTCATATTTTTATCTTGTACAAAAAAAGTAAAAACCATTTTCATCATTTCAACAAAAGAAAACGATTGGTAATACATTATAATATAAACAAAAAATTTTTTTATGATGTATGCAATAATAAAATTAACAGAAAATTTCGTGTATGAAGGATAATTTATAATTTAAAACAAGCAAAAAAAAAATTTTTTTTTAATTCTCATTTTCGGAATACGATAAAAATAAACTAATAAATAAAATAAAAAAGGAAAGAATCCAAAAGAATTTTTTAAAATCCGAACCGTTAGAAATACTCGCAATGTTACAATACATAAAATTTCAAAATATTACTTACACTGGTAAAACAAACCTGCAAGGAAGCACATCACATGGTCATCTAAAATCTAAGAAACAAACCGGTTTATCATTTCTTATTGGATGAACAATGTGCAAGTTTGCACAACCTTGTCCAATTTCGTTTGACCTATGCCGCGTGGACGTTCAAATATTTATGCAAACTGATTTGTATATCCATCCTTATATATAAAATGCTGTGGATTATCCATTTTCTCTCATTATCATTCACTCTTTTTTAATTTATCATTTTATTCCTCATTTTTTTTTTTTTTTTTTTTTATATAACGACCATATCATAGGTCGTTTTTTGAAAAAAAAAAAATAACTCTCTTTCGTCCTTAACAATATTATCGATGATTCGAAAAGTTCACTACTTTTATTGGTTTTTAAAAACACATATTATTGGTTATTAAAGACTATGCAATCTAGAATCAGATCAAACGTTCAACACAATCATCATTTTTATTCATATGGAATTGCCAAAAGTTCCTACCATCGTAAACGAGAACTTTTATCGATAGATGCAAAGGCTAAACTACCTGACGATGCCAAAAAAATTGCTGAACCAATTGTGAAAAAGGTTGAAGATGTAATTAAAGACCCACCTCTTAAAGACCCATTACCTAATACTAAGGAACCTCCGCCTAAAGAGGATCAACCTTCAAAGGAACCTCCGCCTAAAGAGGATCAACCTTCAAAGGAACCTCCGCCTAAAGAGGATCAACCTTCAAAGGAACCTCCGCCTAAAGAGGATCAACCTTCGAAGGAACCTCCGCCTAAAGAGGATCAACCTTCGAAGGAACCTCCTCCTAAAGAGGATCAACCTGCTAAGGAACCTCCGCCTAAAGAGGATCAGCCTGCTAAGGAACCTCCGCCTAAAGAGGATCAACCTGCTAAGGAACCTCCGCCTAAAGAGGATCAACCTGCTAAGGAACCTCCGCCTAAAGAGGATCAGCCTGCTAAGGAACCTCCGCCTAAAGAGGA